ATGATGACCAACGTCGCCGTGCTCGTGGATGAAATCCGCCTTTACATTTCAAAAACTATTGGCCATAAATAGAATGCGATATGCGGATGTTACTAGACCGGAAGGCCGGAGGTTCTCTTAGGATATTGCCCAAGTTCTGTAATCTAGCCCTCCCGGATAATTTGCGGGGATTGTCTGCACGACGGTGGTGACCAATAGCACCAAGCGCCCATCGTGTGGTGTAGCTTGTAGTAACTACAAACCGGGTATGATGCCGATGTGGATGTCTCTGTGGCCTGCCCTATGGTACGATGAAATAGTCGCCGGTGCGGAGTAATTCAAAAATTAGACTCAAAGACACCAAATTGGACTCATAAGCATACAATGATGGCCGGTGGCATTCCAAAACCTGATTCGTCAGTCGTCCCATTTACTTGTCCTCCCAGACTTGAGATTCTTGCGCTTCGTCTTTTCTTCCTTTCGCTTGCTCTTTTCGATTTGTTGTAGACGTTTGACATGGGTTTGCTGCTCCTCTGATGGTAGGGAGGGGATAGCCTGCTTTGCCGCCTCGAGTATGATATCATGTAGCTACCAATTTTTTTTAAATCCTGTCCTATGTGCAAATGATCATCTTACCTTTCTTAAGCATTCCTCGAGGTTGTCATTCTGGGAGCGGCTGGTGGTGGAGGCCGTCTGCAGGCAAGAGCTTGACTCGACAAATGAGGGCTATAAGTAAAGGATTATGGATGCAATTTATTTGTAAGGGTATTGGTTGGCTGGTATGAGCGCCTACCGACTTGCGCAGCTCGCGCTTGGCCCAGTGCGGAATAAAGGGAGTTTCGATGGACAGTTTGACAACAGCCTTGGAGTTTGTTTTATTAACATGCTAATCATTATCCATGAGTCAGTCGCTGCAGGATGGAAGCAAGTTTGCGCATATATGTGGCCCTCACCTGTCCACCAGGTCCACTACTCCGGGCGAAAGAAGCATCTACAAATTGTCTTGGCACCATTTTTATTGTTTTTTGATGAGAAACCCATCGCCGAGCCTCTTCGAGAAGGGAACGCGTCCAACCGGGAGGTAGTTCACCAGGAATTGCGCTGTACGCTAGAAACCGACGTCCTGAAGCCAGAAAAATCGAGAAAATTGGCTTATTTCGCAAAAAGGCATCTGTAACAAGTCTTATCATAGTTGTCGTGGTTTGACCTTGAAAAAACTCTATAAAACGCCATTCGGCCGTATCCCTGCAGGATTAGAGCAAAACATGGCCCTAACCCGACTCGAACGGATAACCTTGAGGAACTTCCAGAGACTGGAATCTCACACGCTACCATTGCGCCATAGGACCAGATGGTTTATTGGACAAAGGGTGGAAAACCATGTCGGCAAAAAAGATGTGGTGGGCCATGATAGGTCGAAGAGCTGACTGTTGAGTAGAGTCGATGACTTGAATTGAAGACTCAAGAGGTTAATATGGGTTTAGGTGCCAGCTGGCACAGCCAAAGGACGGAGGGCTGGTAGAGGGGAAATACGAGGACGGAGGGGCAAATGGATTGAGAGGGCTGATTTGGCGTCAGAAAAGAACTATCATTAATGGGTGATAGTTAAGGGTTGCCTACGTGGCCTTGCTAAGGCTACTAAACATGGTATAGAGAGCTCTTGTGGAGGCGCTGTTGGAGGGTAGGGATCGCCACCACCCAATAGGGACGCCATGAGAGCTACAAGGACTTGACAGTCTTGGAACAGCTTTCCAGTCGCCGACAGGAACTGTAGAGCTGGCGCCCCGGGACGCGAGTGCTGTAAGCATACTTATAGAGTCATGACGAAGGCTCTTTTTGTGCAACCTGAGCCTAGTGTGCACTTTTAGACACCTATTTACTCAAGCGGGATGAAATCTGAGCAGGCACCTTTCACTACATCCATTTATGACGAATCATCTACACATATGAAAGTGTTCAACATAAATTATAGCCTCAAAATCATGATATATGAAACTTCTCGTTGCATTACGCTCGCCGACATTCCTGTATCTTCTTTTGGAGCAGCTCCAGCTCATAATGGCGCCCTTGCTGCTCGTAACTGGAGGCAAGCTTGACCACGGCACCCACGGTTGTGGCATGTGTCTCTCCAAATACGATTTTTCTCCCTTCCAAACCTTGAGCTGAAGGACCTCGGCCTCGAAATAACGTCCCTGTCCACAATAACTGAGCGCCAAATAGCTCATGGCATCGAGAGTATCCACTTGTAGTTTTCTTGTTTTTTTTTTTGGGTTTTTTGGCCTTGGTTTTTGCGGACGGGCTGCTTGGGTATGGTGACCTTGCTCACAATAGATCGAAGCCAGCCAGGACATCGCCCCGAGGGTTTCGGATGGGTCTCCCCTAGTTGTGCCTTTCAGCCTTCTATGACCTTTACTTGAAATGATTCTACGTCGTCATAACGGCTCTGGTAATAGTATGACCTTGCTAGTGCATACATGACATATAAGGTGTCCAAGTGTCCCTCTCCCAGTCGCGTTTGCATTTCTATAGTTGGTTGGAATTGGTAGCTCAACAAATCCGCTCAAAGCATATCCTCGCGTTTGGACATTGGAATAAGCATTGCTCGCTTTGCGTAATAGTCGCCTTAGGGTGAATGATGCCTTGGGGGTTACGCTCCTTATTTAGAGTAAATTTGACCCTAATCCCATATCAGTCTCTTAATAATGAGGCTTTGCTATTCTATATTCGTCTTCGCCATTCTATATTCGTCTTCGCTACTGTGTATCGATAAAGTGGACCCTGCCCCAATCCCTTTGTAGCGATATATATATCCAGAAGCCCATATGACAATATAAATATACTAGGAGATAGAACCCTCGAGGACACGACAGCTCAGTCACCTCTGGCTTTGCGTTTGATAGAGGCGCTGCCACTAACAATACTCAATTACGGCTATCCTTGACTCTCACCGCTATTGACCATTTCCTAAACAATCTCGACGACGCAAACTTCGTTGACAGAAACATTTGCGAATCGAACGGCGTACAGGCAAAACGTCTCGGGCCCTTACATGTTCACTCTTCCAAAGCTCCCAGCTCAATTACCAGACGCGTTTGGCCTGCTGGGGGATGGAGCAAAGCTAAACTTTAGAACGAGCGAGACTGGAGTCAGGAGACTTGCAGAATACAAGGTATGGATTTGTAGTTTGCTTCTTTGAGCCGCTAATCGCCCATATACCAGAACATTTCGCCCACCGACGATGCATATTGGTCCCAATACTTGACGCTTTTCGACTCAGCTAGCGATGTATTCACGTTAATCAGCTCCAATGACAGTGCGTTGTTCGTTATTGCTCACAAGTCGCATTTCATGACCACGTTTCCAGTCTACCGTGCACTCTTGGTTTGCCCTCAAAACGTCTCCACTTTGTTGCATTATCTTATCTCAAAACTCGTTATGCTCAAAGGAGATCATACTTTTCCCTCACCACCGCCCTCAATCTCATCCACACTCAACCCTCTCAAATCTCTGCCTATTTCAATCACTGGTAATGGCAATTCGAGAAATCCGACTAAAGAGGCACTTAACTGTATAAGAGTGCTATCCAGGGTTTTACCCGTCGTGTTCGGTCTGGAGACGGGTGGTAGCTGGGAGGACGAGATTCTCTGGAAGAAGGGGGCCACGCCGCGCACCAGCCCAGGCGAATATGGTGCTTCCACAGCAGGAGAAACTGACGACTCAAATCCACAATTTGTGATCGAAGATGAAGACGACGACGAGGCGCATACGCCCATGCTTCCGCGCACACCACAGACCGCAACTGGTGCTTCCCAGGGAGGCCCAAGTTTAGCAGAAAGACTTATAGATACCCTTGTGGATTTGCTCTTTTGTTGTGGTTTTACTCTCCCTGTCAAGGCACAGATTGACCACCACAAGTTTCAACACATTATCTGGTAGGTTTCACGAGTTCGTTCATGCATGTCTCTCCCCTTTTTTTTTTTTTTTACAAAATTCGCAGGGAAAAGGGTGTGGGATCGACGTTTACTCCTTCTGCTACATCCAGAGAACAAGCATATATTGATAACAATCGTACCGAGGTCCTTCGCCTTTTACTTGTCCTACTCTCAAAACAGATATACAACTCTCCTGCATCAAATCTCACCACTCCCACTCGATATGCCCAATACTTTGTCCAAAAGGTGCCGAGAAAATTGGTCCTGACCACTTTGTGCTCCCTCCTCAACGTCATCGTCAATTCCCCCTTGAACCAAGCTCAAACTGGTGGTATCAGTGCAGGCATTGCGGGCGTCGGGAAAGGGATCTCCAAGGGCCTTAATCAGCTCCCATATACACAGGGATGGAACGGAGATGACGCCAGAGAAAGCCTCATCAGCATCTCCGTGCAGGCGCTGGTCGTCCTTCTCGATTATCAGAGCTCCAGTGCGAGAGATTCTGTTTCATCTGGAGGTTCGCTCCCTGTCGAATCCGCCGTAATGTCGCCTATATCCCCATCGACTTCGCATCCCCCGCCAATGACCCCAATGTCAGGTCAACGACCAGAGGATCGGGCACCGTCTCCCAAAACGAATCACTTTCGGTATTTCCTCTCAAAGATCCATCGACCCGCGGACCTTAAATATCTATTAGACGGTATATTGGCCGTTTTGGGTGAGTTGATCCATTGCGGTATTTTTGGACTCGTTCTAACCCAGGTTTCAAGGCGAGGAACTCATAAAGCGATCTGGTCTTCTCAGCATGGGACTTGGGGCTCTGGAGGGAGTGGGAGTAAAATCTCGACCAACTTCCAGCAGGCCTAGCATGCAAGAAGTACTGATCCTCCTCTGGAAGTTGTTTGATATCAATCGTGTAAGTCTTGAGCCTTTCTTCTGCCTGATCTAACTGATTCGGTGGTGGCCCTTTAGAAATTCCGGGCTTATGTTGTGGAAGGTGATAGGGCGGTCGATGTGATGGCACTGATACTATGCTATTGCCTTGAACTCAAGGATAAGCCAAGTAAGCAGCGTTTCACTTGCTAAAGATCTGTCTTATGTTTTTTTTCAGAGTCAAACGGCATCTGTCGGGCTCTGAGCTATATGCTGCAATCCTTATCTGCCGAACCTAGCTTTGGTACTCAGTTATCGCATACACCTATTCGCATTGCTCTTCCCAGCAAGTGGAATGTTGTGGGAACTGCTGCTGAATTCTTTATTTCCGTGAGTACCGGGTGCCAACCTCCCCATTCATGGTACTTAAACAAACTAGGCCATCTACTTTATTGTTTCGAATTCTACCACCTTTGGCTCTTCCTCGAACACTGGTCCATCCCCTGGAGTCTTCTCTTCTCTTTACCCGGCGCTTATCATCTCAATTGCCAATGTCGCTCCCTACTTGAAGAACCTCAGCGTTTCGAGCAGCAACAAGTTGATTCACTTGGCCGCTGCTTTTGCAGATCCCAGGCTCTTGTTCGCTGAAGAGGGAAATCCGCGACTGGTATACTTTATGTGAGTTATCCGGTCAATCATCACTCATCAAACTAACGCGATACTTTAACAGGCTCGATGCTATCGTTTCCATTTTGTATCGACATCCTTCTGAGAACCCCAATCTCCTGTATTCGCTTCTGCGTACCCATGTGGTGTTCCAAGACTTGGGAACTTTGACATTGTCACAGGGTTTGCGAGAGATCAAGCGCCGTGAAGAGGAAGAAAAGGAGACCAACTCGAGAGTACCAGGCAAGCGCCTATCACGGGACCGGGATCCACTGGCCGAACAGGCCCATGAAGAGAAGGCCCGTATGCTCGCTGCTGAAGGTCTGAGTTCACCTTCGGCGGAGGGATTAGCGCATGAGGCAGCAAACAGTGGGCCCCTCGCCAACACTCTTTTGACCAGCTCTGTGGACAGCCTGACGATCGTATCTCCCTCAACTGGGACGAGCAGCTGGGCTGAACACGGGGCCACAAGTTCTAGTAGTTTGGCAGAGGTATCGGAAAAGGCCCGTGGAAAGATGAGGCAGACGACGGAGAGCGTCGATGTCACTTCTTCCGTGGAAAGAGCTGCTGCGGTCGCGGTGGGTCGTAATGGATTTGTTCCGACGCAGGAATGGGTCACTTCGTGGCAGCAAGCGTACGTTTTCTCACCGGGGGTAATTTGAGATGGCTGCTGACGCGGTTGGTAGTCTCCCACTTGATCCGATCCTATTGACTATTTCGGAGCTATTGCCAAAAATACAGGAGATTCAGGTGTCCATGAATAGGCAGTCTACGAGTCCTGCCGCGCTCGATTTCCTTCGGGTGGTCGACTTCAAGTCTATCCTGCCACAACGGTCGCCCGTTTCACCAAGGCCATTTGTCTGGACGGACTCGTCGATCGT